AGGCGCGGCTCTAGAGCCTATATTTTAGGGGGATAGCAGGCCGGTGGATCCAGACATTTTTGCAGGGAGGCATGCTGAAATGTAGACCGGTTTTTTCTTCGGACACTTAGGGCTGGGGGGGGGGGGGGAGGAGGACTCGTGCCATATTTTCAATGGGGAGCGCTGATAAAATCCTACAATCATGCACACTATTACCTTATAGCTCCCTTCTCACGACTATTTTCTTTAGGGGAGAAAACGTTCGTAATTAGCGTCACCTTCTAACTTTTGCTACTGCCATTTTTTTATGGCATTTTTTTTTTGGGGGGGGGGCTAGACAAATTTTTTTTTGGGGGGGGGGCCTAAAGTATTTCTATAGGCCCTATAAGACTCTGTCTTTTTGAACATGTCTCCACCATTTCCCTTTTTCCTTTGTGTCTTACATAATAATTATTTTTGTGTTTCATCAAACATCTTTTTCATATTTATCGTCTGTATAAAAATCTGAATGTACATTTTGCAATATGGAAATTACTGTTGAGATGAATTGGAGAAAGTGAACGTGCGGAAATCCTTTGTTACATTGTTCCTTTGTGTCCGGAGAAAAAAACATGTCTACATTTCGGCGCGGATGTGCGGTTGTCCCCCCCCCCCCCCCCCCCCCATCAAGGGCGGATCCAGAACACAATTTTGGGGGGGCCAAAAAATTTTTTGGTCGCCCAAAAAAGTGGGTCCAAAAAATCTCGGCGTGGGGTTCGGGGCCCGCTTAAGGGCCCCGAAAATTTTTTGGATTCTAGATGCTCTGTGGTGCGATCTGAGGCAATTTCTGACCACTTTAACCAATGTTTTTTTGAGGAAAAGATGGTGGTGTACTCATTGCCTGCCTTTATTGCGGTGTCATATAAAAAAAAAAAAAAATTGGTTTCGTTTTGGGGGGGGCCATGGCCCCCTTTGCCCCCCCCCTGGATCCGCCCTTGCCCCCCATCCAAAGCTGGATAGGCTACTGAAGATAATTGAATCTCTTACTTATGAATAAGGTTGGGATGGGTAAATAGTCCACTGCCTCTACCATTAATTAGACGTAGAAGTGTCATACCCCAAACTGGGCTTGAACCCTCAACCCAAGGTATTACCCGCAGACCACGAATTCAGTGCTCCGGACCAATAGATATTAAAGCCATGGTACTTCCACTGAGCAGTGTCATATTAATTCAATTATTTACGCACCCACATAGATAATTCGGGCACGTAGCCAGAATTCGGCCAATCAGATTTGAGGAAAGGTAATCGCCAAGGCAGATAAAGCAACCAATAACATTTCAGAAACTGAATTAGAGAGCGTTGCTCATTTACATGTATGAAGGCAGAGATCCAGTCGAAGTGTAATGTAGCTCCGCCTCCTTTGTTTGTAAGCAACTAAACGCACACCAGCTTTGTACTCGTGCACAGGAGGATATGAACCGATCAGCATTGAAAAAAGTAGTTATTATTTGAACATGGTGACGAGATTGACAGTATTTGAATATATATTCATAAATACCTCAGACAGTTTAGCTATTCCTATTGGTCGAGAGCCCGTCACGTGGCCGGTATTAAACGGATGATAAAGACATGGCTAGCTGGTCTTAAACACTTTTCCAGTGTCACAATAAAATGTGGACTCTTAAAAATCCAGTGCCTCTTACCGTTTCATTGGTTGAACGTTCACAATCCTCACGTAGGCATGCGCAACACTACAAGCGAGTCAGAATTTTATAGTTCTAAATTCAAAACGCAACGCCCCAGGTGCGTTCTGCGTGACATCGCGCAGAACATGTTACGCGCGCGTCAATCTCCATAAAAGGGTTGTTTACATCTTACTCGCCAGCTGAACATTCCATTATTTTGCTAGAGGGATGTTTCAAAAAGCATGAAGTGAACTTGTTGAACAAAATCGGGATTTTTTGAACGAATTATTTGAATTTTTTTTACGGATAAGGTATTTATGAATGGGAATAAATATGTGCTCGGTCGGTATTTATCACTCGTTTAATACCGCTTAGAGTCTGGGTGCTGATAATTACGGCTCGGGTAATTATCAGCACCCAGACTCTAAGCGGTATTAAACGAGTGATAAAAACCTCCGGAGCACACATTTATTCCCTTAATAAGGCTTTGTTAAATTAATACAGTTTTTTTGCTTTTGTACGAAATTATGTTGGAGCTTTTAAGATGTATCAATTAAAATGATATTGAGTTGCTCGTTGGGGTGCGTGTCCAAGTTGATTCATTATATTGGAAGGAATTACAAATGAAGCAACATCGAATTCTCCCTTGGTTGAATTTGGAGACTGTTCGACGTCTCAATAAAAGCTTTTACAGCAAATGGGGAAACATGATGCATGGCCCTCTTCAATGACAGTATGTTGTAATAATAAACAAGAATGGACAGACACAATCGAATAGTTTCTAAATACTGAGAAAAAAATAACACCGATCGAAAGGTGGGTGTGCGAAGTTTGGCTTGATACAGCCGATATATTGGTTGATAAAGCGTGGCCTGGTATAGCCGGTATTTTTTGACACAGTGTGGCTTGATATAGCCGGTATGGTTGACAATTCGTATGGTTGAGAAAGTACAGCACGTATCTTCTCGGTGAACACACACCCTCCGAATCGGCCAACCGTTGACATGTCATAGTGGTATTTATGTACTGACTATCTCATCACAACTATAATCACAGTTGCCTATTTTGTACACACGTATTCTGGTTAATCCTATTAAAATATCAGTTAATCGTAAAAGTATTGTTAACTTAAAGGATGCATAAGAAAATGTCTTTATGTAAAACAATAATTGATTAAACAAAACCTCCAAATCACGAAACACTTTGAATTTCGTCGATCTTACACTTGCTTTTCTATGTCCGTTGCTTCGCGCAACTCATGCTGCGCGCGACCTTTGACCCTGGAATAGCTCCACCTTTTTGTAAAAAAAAAATGTAATTAATGTTTGAACTTGATGGTTAATACTAACCTAAGGCCATAGGTTGTTTGCTTATGTGTACATGTACATGTACAGTGATACCGACGTTTCACACACAATGTTTGCAGATACAGTGTGAGTAAGAAAAAAAAAAGCGGAACCCAAACCCCATAAAATGTATTTCATATTTAAAAAAATATGTAGCACCAAAAATAATAATGACTGGAAAGCAAATTTCCTAAGCTATTTTTAGATGAAAAAAAATCTGAAATTGCTCAATCCGTTCAAAGAATATCGCCATTTAAACACAGTGACCCTAAAACCTGTCTCGTCCAAAAATCCATTCATTGTGTGTTTTGACTGTTTGGAACAACAAAGAAAATGACACAGAATACTTGTTTAAACAACTGTCACCAACTGTAGTACACAATATCTTTATTAACAACCCTGATTGATTTATAAAATCTCCTTTTTTTTTAAAGGATGGGCCTTCAAAGGGATTCTGTTGAATATTTTTAACGTTTAAACTGAGATTTTATCGCTGGTGATGTTTGAAGACAATTGCGAAGACGCGTTTTTTTCTTGAAATCCCATTTTTTTTTTGACGAGACAGGTTTTATAGGGTCGTTGTATATAAATGGTGATATTTTCTAAACGGATTGACCAATTTCAGTAATTTTTTCATCTAAAAGTACCTTCTGAAATTGGCTTTTCCACTCCTTATTATTTTTGGTGCTACATATTTTTTTAAATAGGAAATATAATTTTGGGGGTTTGGGTTCCGCTTTTTTTTTTTGACTCACCCTGTATTTCTGTTTTATCTGGGCTGCAAATATAATAATTTATTGTAATTTGATGTTTTGTTAGTCTTGTCTGTCCTGTTTCTGTCTTTCCCTTACTTTTTGTTGTAAGTTCTGTTTGTCCAGTTGTTTGAAAGGCATTTCATGGGCCCTATAAGACTGTCTTTTGAATGTCTCCATAATTGCGAGTATAGTATCTACTACATTGAAGTAACATCGAATTTGTTGAATTTAGTGACCGCTTGACGTCCACAATAATGTTTCAAAAGCAAAATTGGTTACAATGATGCCAATGACCCTTTTCAATAAGACTGTAGGTTGTAGGCCTTAATACTAATTAAACAAATACATGGACGGGCACAATCGAATAGTTTCTAAATCCCGAAAAGAAAGGGAAAAAACAGCGATCGAAAGGTGGGTGTGCGAAGTTTGTGTAAGCAATGCAGTACATTTTGTGATTTAGAATGGTAAATCGTAGATATATAAGTATATAATCGAGAGCCTTCTCGGTGAACACACACCCTCCGGATCGCCGAACCAAACAAATCGTTGTCATGCTGGTATTTATGTACCGAATATCTCATCACAAGTACAATCACAGCTGTCTATTTATTACACGCCTATTCTGGTTTATTCTGCGAAAGAATAACGTAATAGTAAATTTACTGTTGACTTAAAAGATCCATTAGAAAATATTGTTTATTTGAAACAAAAATCACCAACACAAAAATTCGAATAACGAAAAAGCTTTCAATTCGCCAATCTTGCACCAGTGTTTGTATTTCCGTAGCTTTGTACCTGACCCTGATATGACCCTAATATAACTCCACCCTCTTTTTCACGTTATTGTATGACATTGAACGTGCCACGGTTATAATTCATTACCCCTGATGCTATACGGTTGACTGCACATACCATGACAGACCGTACAACATACACATGCAACTATTGTGGTCCACAATGTCGATCCAACGCGGGCCTTGTGACCCACAAACGCGCCTGCCAAAGAAAAACTCAACAAAAAAACGTGTTTAGCGAGTAAACACAATTCTTAACACTTTCTTGCTATCACCTCATGCTATAAAATGTTTAGCATGTGAACATGTTTACAAACTGATAGCAAGATAAGTGTTTAGAATTGTGTTTGACTCGCTTAACACCTGTTTGTAGGCCAGGCAATTATCAACACAAAGGCAATTAGGCTACCTTTGTCCCAATGCCTAAAATCGAGAACTTGCTCCCATGGTCAATTTGACCTCTCTTGGAAAATTACTCATAACTCTGTCAAAAAGTAACAGATTTGGACATTTGATGTCTCATTTTAATGTGGAAATGTGTATCTATCAAACCATACCTATATTATCTATGTTGGTCTTACATTCTACGTCTGGCATCCCGGTATATTTTGTTTGCAATTTTTTTGACACACACTGTATATTTCAATTTTGTTAGGGTTGCAAAATTCATTCAGGAATAGAGCCTCTTACAATTCATTGTCAATAAAATTGTTGTTACAATTCATTGTTAAAGGCAATCTTTCTTTTACATTACACAATTCCTTTTCCCATGTATAAAAAAATCCGTCTCTTTACAAAAAAGTGTATATATTTACTTCGACATTGCTATCGCGGGTTGTGGAAAAGGTTATTAACCACGAATCCAAATATTTAAAGGTCTATTATTATTATTATTATGTTTTATCAGCTACCTAATCTCTTTGACATTTTTGATAGGGAATTGCAACTGTAAATTGCTCTGCAATTTCAATGGTTTCAAAATTATGAGAATGCGCTCATGACAATGCCAGAAGGCTGCAGGATCCTTGCAACTAAAATTCACAAATTAAGAGAGGAACGGTTGACTGCTCTCCAGTGGATTCCATCTTTGACGATCCATCATCTTGTTGCATTGCCAACCAATTTTACTGGACATAATCCACCTGACAAAACTACAAGAACAATCTTGTAGAGGTGGTGGAATCCGGAAATGGACATCGAAACAGGTGATTGTTAAAGTTGGGTACACGTGCTTTTTGGGTGTGGCACCCGTTGAAAAATAGACTTACAAGTTCAATTGATACTTTTCTAGCATTACATTAGTTATGAGCTTACCAATGAGACATCGCACGAACAAAAATCGCGGCCCATGACCAGTAATCAATCACTTAATTTCAACTTTTGAATTAGGAGCGAGACGCTCCTAATTCGTTCTGAATAGTTGTGCGCATTTTCTGCACTTGAGCGCGCCAATTAAAATATATTTTTTAAAAACTGTGTAAAGGCCTGCAAAAGCAAACAAGCAAATTTATCTGTTACAGATAGGCCTATAATATTCCTTTCCATTTCGCTGGGAAATGAAAATTGAAATTTTGAAAAAGCAACTTTAATGGTTAATGCTTGTGGTTAATACTGTCTTAATGACACTGTGACACTTTTAAATACAAATCGCAAACAGAAAACTAAGTTAATTTAGTTAAGTTAAGGTGAACTGACAGCTCCTTGTAAAATCAGAGCAGACCTGTTTGAAAAGTTTACATTAAAAAAACACCGTGTAACAGATTACTCGTACACAACAATAATTGTATTATATCATATTGAAAACTAGCATTCCTCATACACGTTTGGAAACAGGTTGGAATTTAACGGAACACCTGTTTTATTAATATACTAAAGTAATTGCACTGCAGGTGAGTAAGCAACGATACTGCAGTTCGGTCCGCCCCATCCATCATAGCACTGACACCGACATTTTGAAGACTTCTTTGCACCAAAGCTAAAGATCCTGCCTTTAGTAACACCAGAGGGCGCCCCTGAGATGTCCTTCTGATGAGGGATGCATTCTAGAATCTTCCCCACACACCTGCCGTGTCCGCTGCAAAGAGAGGCAGAACACCGCGCTGCTGCTTGGGTTGTTTTCAGAACCAATGGGCCAAGGGCTAATTTGACGTCTTTTTGAAGACCCAGGCAGGCTGCTCGGTTGCTGGTGTCATTGTTGTCGCCCCAGAAGACCACACCTGCCAGGCCTTGCTCAGCAGGCAGCAGGATTGAGTTGTACATATCCTCCTAGAAGACGGAGTTTAAAACTAATTGAATGTTTGCATTTATTGCTGTTACTATCAATGCGTTGGTGAAAATATGCACACAAGTGTATTAGAGAAAATACAGACGCGGTGTACGAAAACATCTAGTTCATCATTCAGAAACGTGTTGATGTAAATACTTACCAAGTTGAGGTTTAGACCGGTGTGGGAGTAGTTGAGGGCGATATAACTGAACATCGGCTTGATGGGGTCCTTGGAGTTCTGTCTGACTCTCAGAGCTTCTTGAAGGATGGTGTCGATGTAGACAGCAGTGTCTGTCCGAGTGTCCTCCTCCTGCATGTAAATGGACGGGTAGAGGGTTGGTGAGGCATCAACCAGCCAAGACATTTGATCGTTGGAGAGCACTGACGCCTGATTGCAGTACCGAGCGTCTGCGTGGTTGTCGCAGTACGGGAAGCGATAGAAGCCAAACAGTGCCTTCGGTCGTAGCTGATGGGCTAGTAGCACCGTGCCTTCGTACAGGGACCTTGCCGCCTCCTCGAACTCTGTCTTGGCCGTTGCCTCGACGGTCCCCTGGTCCCACGACGGGTGACGACGGCGCACCAGCGCCACCGACTCGGAAAGGTACACTTTGTTCCTTATACTCACGGGTTTCCAGAACTCCCAGTCGATGAGAGCCAGGCCAGAGTAGTTCGCGTCCGGGATGGTTTTCAGGATATCAACTGTTGCCTTCTCGAGATGAGTTGTCATGTTGACAAGCTGAAATGATTCAAATAAAACAAATCATCCATGTCCGCTTCTTGTATGTGAAGAGAGTGAAAATCAGGAAAACACTGGATAGCAACTTCGTTTCTCGAGAAGCTATTGTATTCAAATGCCAAGTGTGTTTAGTTCACGTACTTTACTCACCCCTCCCCCAGGGGGCCTTGTGCCAGGGGTATTAAACACAAGCCATCACCAGATAGCCGCGCACGGCGAAGGTATCCGTCCTGAACCCCACTTTAGGGAATTTTTATTGTTGACTTAGAAGAGTTTATTAACCTGGGGGAGCCCTCCATTGACAAACTGGCCATGGTCGATGTATGGGTATGATCCAAGATCTTCGTGGTTGAAGTACACCATGACGTCATTTCCTGTTGGAGAGTTCGTCTGGATGCCGTTGGAGCCCAAGTCCAGGTCGATACCAAACTTTGTCAGGCAGCGATCAGAGTTTCTGACGTTCCACACAGCCGTGAATGCGCGGTCGGCTAGTGGTGGTGGAAGGGGGCTCGCGCCAGGCTCCTTTCTGGGGAAGAGTCCCTGGAGACCTGCCATTCCGCCTCTGGGAGTTAGAGGCGTTACCTCACAAATGTTGCCTGTTGCCAAGACAAGCAGCAACCACTGTGCAAGACACTTCATCTTCATTCTGGGTTATTGAGAAGAAAATACAGATTTCACAATGATGATAAGTTCAAAGCCTTACGATGATTTGATATCATTTTTCTAGATATTAGTTCTTAGAGAAGACAGGTTTATGCAGATCATTTTTGTCGACCCTGTTTCATTTATCATCTTCGTTTCCTCAAGCGGTTTCGCCATCTTTCTATGTCATTCATTTCGTTTGTGTCAATTCATTTGCAGTCGATTATTTATTTCCATGTTTATGTAACCCACATAAACAAACTACCAGTGTCACAAAGACTTCTATCTGTTTCGTTTTGATTCAACACTTTAATTCAACACGGATTTCTGAACAACAAATTACTTTTGATTAATCGGATTAAACTACTTAGACCGAATGAATACAGATTTAAGCTTTTTAAGAACAACAAGAAAAAAATGAGCGCTCAACTTTAATAAAACATGTACATGTACATAATGCGAACCAGGATCCTGGATTTTCTGTCTCTGTCCTCGCTCTGTGTTCCACTAACAAGGAACAGACAGTTCCAAAGGATATTTGCACGCGTGCTCTAGTTCCAGTCCAGGTGTACTGCTCCTTGGAGAACGGAATCCACCGTAGACTGTCTCTGTACCATCGACTGGGGAAGAACTCTCCCTCAACAGGTTAATCTCTCTGAAGATGGTCCAGATCAGGGGCACTCTGACCAGGGCCTGCACTTCATGCAGCTCGTCACCTGACGGCTGTGATGTGAGTCGGGAACGGAGAGCGGACTGCGTCTCAGCTGAGCAGAACCTGAGAGCAGGGACTCAGCAAAAACTGAGAGCTGAATCTGATGATCCAAACCTGAGATTCAAAGAAAACCATGCAGACATATAGTATACATGCTACTTTGCAAACAACTTCAAATGTTGCTATACTTCGATAACAATTTCAATTATCAATATAGCTTAGGCATAGCTAATTTTACCGTTTACCCAAGGCTCCATGGAGTAATCAATATAATTGACTTGGGCTCCAGTAAACAGGTTGTCAAGTTCAAAATTTAACAAGACGTGACAGAAGTTGTCATCCACAATTGTAAATTTTGATACCGACCAAGGCAATAAATCTTCGGTCAGCTCTAAAACTTATCTTACAATATAAAGCAATTTATGACAAAAATAAACATTTTATAAAAGAATATGAACACAATTGTCTTGGTTTTTAGCCCATAAGCATCTTAGCTGTCACCTAACCGCAAACAATTTATAAATCATAATAGTACATATCTAACCCAAAGGATGATGTAAGAATACCCCATCTATAAGCTAATTATGTAAGCACATGCATATCCCCTAAAACAGGACATTATCTACACACACTTTCCTAGAGATCCCCCAAGCTTCATTTGCATCCCCCCAAGCTTCATTTGCATCCTGAACAAGTCCAAAACAGTGTACTAAAAGATCAAAATTAACCTAAATAGTCTGCTTAATATCCCCTACATAATTAAATCTTATTACTCTGAACCACTCTTATCTGCTTATTTTGCATATAACACACTAGCATTGCATATGAATCATATACATGTACAATGAGCACATGTGGTTCTCAACTAAATCTTTACTATCATGTATTATGAAAATTACAAAAGGTTTAGCTTTACCTGAGAGCCAACAGTTTCAACAGGACTATTTCATCTGTCGAATTGAGCCTTAGCGTTTTGGGCCCGTTTTACATGCCGATTGCAGCAGAACATGAAGAAAACATGGATGCCTCTGTCACGCCCCAACTATCGCATCGGTCCCAACTATAGTTGGGACTGTCCCAACTATAGTGCGGCAGTTGGGTCGGCCCAACTATAGTTAGGACTGGAGTTGCGCCGGATGCTTCATGCTTGATAAATCTTGTTGGATTAAATGTTCCGCGGCGCTGGCACCGTGTATTCGTCGTGCATGCATGCCGCAAGGCTGGCCGGTCACGTGGTACTGCCTAGTTGGATGAGTTAATTGTCCAGCTGCTGGGTTGATTGTCCAGCAACATTTTGCAAAATTCAAAGATTGCCATGGCCGGCCAACTATAGATGGGCCCCACCCATAGCTAATGTCAAAGGTCCCAAGTAAAGTCGGACAGTATGTAACAGAGCTGTAGGGAATGTTTTATAGTCGTCGTACATCAATGTAAACTATAGTTGGGACCGCCAAATGAAAATATTGCAGTGGCCCAACTACAGATGGTCCCCACCCATAGATAATTTCATTGGTCCCAAGTAAAGTCAGATGTGTATTAGAGTTGTAGGGAATGTTTTACAATCGTACAACAATGTACACTATAGTTGGGACCGCAAAATAAAAAGATTGGAGTGGCCCATCAACTATAGATTCGCCCCATCAATAACTAATTTCAGTGGTCCCCAGTAAAGTCAGACGTGTATTAGAGCTGTAGGGAACGTTTTACAGTTGTACATCAATGTAAACTATAGTTGGGACACCGTAAAATAAAAAGATCGGAGTGGCCCAACTATAGATGGGCCAGCCCAACAGTCTTACAGTTGGGACCGTCCCAACTATAGTTGGGACAGGCCCAACTATAGTTGGGCCACCCAACTGTGGAACTACAGTTGGGACAGGCCCAACTATAGTTGGGACAGGCCCAACTATAGTTGGGACCGATGCGATAGTTGGGGCGTGACACCTCCATGACAGTTGTGATCATGCTTTTTCAGACTGCATCCAGTGTGAACACAAGAGGGCGCTATTTCATTTTTTGGCTGGGCTACACTTAGTTTTCTTGTCCATGTATAGCGCAAATAATAAGACCCATGTTAAAAGAGAGCCATTAACAGCCCTGTTTGTAGGGCTACTATATGTTGTACAAGCATGGCTGTAATTGCTCTCGTTTACTATCGGTCGTATTATTGTCGCATGGCGTCAATAATAAGACCCATAGTAAAAACATTGCGCAAGGAAGAGCCATTTCTACCACGCACTTGCCGAGGTTATTTAGTGATAAAGTTGGCCTGCCTCTACCGAGGCTTAAGAAGAAAAAAAGGGTTGCCTGCTACTGCCAAGGCTTATACTAAATTAATAAAAGTTTTGCTCGCAACTGCCGAGGCTTACCACAATGAATAGAAGACTTCCCGGAAACTGCTAGTCTAGTGTGAGGGGCAAATACCTCCTAGCCAGTATCTGAGCCTCAGAGTTGAAGAATGTTGATGTCGCTAAAGCCCTGTCCGCACATAGATGGCTGTAGTTGTTGGTCGCTGAGTGTATTATATTATGTTGAGCGGAGTGTATTATGTGTCCGTGTGGGTAGCCTTCACGTTTTTTAGTCTGCTGTTACGTAGCGTAATATATATGAAACACATCTTCTGCACGCAACGAACTCTTTTATTTTCCACATACCAGTCGCACGCTTTGTACCATACAAAAATATAGGCTACTATCTACCGAACCATGTTCTATGCTGCATTATGGGTCTGTTTCACGTAAATGCGTAATCCCTAACAGTAACAATCAGCGGCGTAGCCAGGGTTCTCATCCTAGGGCCGGAGCGTGTGTTGGGAGGGGGGGGGGGGCTTGAGGTTACAATGGATGGGCGCCCAAAAATTTGCATCAGTGCTGAAACCGGACACCCCCGCCTTCCGTAAAATCAAATATTGGGTGGGTGGGTGGGTGGGGTGGGGGGGGGGGGGGGGCACCATCTTCCCATGGGGCGCTGTTCAAAACGTATATCATGGCCACATTATACACAATAACTACCGCTATTCGCTTTCCAATGGACTTTTAAATACAATAAACGGCCACTCGAGGCGGGGGGGGGGGGGGGGTAGGAGCGAAGAGCGAATTTTGCACCTGTCATAACTGATTCATGATAATGTGGCGAAAATTACTATAGCGGCAGAGTCTAAAGAGGGCGCGCTAGCGGCTGCGGGCCCCTATATAAGAGGCCGCGGGGCAGTTGCTAGAGGGACGTACATGTAGACGCAGACGGAGACACAGCCCTCATAAGAGCTCACGCTATTACGCGCGCTGACGGCGTGCTGGGTGGTGCGGTGGGGCATGGGTGGAGTAAGGCTGGCATAAGGAGGCACGTAGTCCGCGGAGGCTACTGGAGGCGGAGCGACATACAGCGATCTGCCGATTGTAACGTGACGGAGCCGGAAGGGCGCGCTCATCTACCCGCCGCCTCGAGGAAGGCTCGCGACTGGAAACGGTGGAGGGCGGGAGAGTGGAGGCGCACAGGAACGCTAGAGGCGTACGGTTCTTACCCGGGATTCAGAGGCTATCCCCAGCCAGGCATCGCCGTGCTGCCCAGCACTGCCTTAATACCGTAGCGGCTAATGCGAGGCTACCCCTACAGAGATAATTGAGAGGCTCGGAGACCAATTACTTATTAGAGGCTAACATTATAATTTACGAGAGGTCCATCCTATGACATTGATTCTGTGTAAATAAATCAAGCAGTAATTGAAGTCATTGACTGTTGTGTACTTAATTGTCTGTCCTTGTCCATCTTTGAGGTTGAGGGGCGTGGGTGAGTGCTGCTACGCGTATAGGGCGGTATATTTCCATCCAAACGGGCCTGCATTCCCGGCTGCTGGGGTACTGATCCTAAGCTAGGTTGTCTGGGTAAAGGGACTACGGATCGGGTCACAGATATTCCCGCCACAAATGGTGTCAGAAGTGGGATTATACGCCTAGCTACCATTTGCCCACGTTCTCATCCTTGGGGAGGCGATGACAATTATTAATAGATAGGACGCCTCAAATAGATCAGACTTAATTTAAATAAGACGAAGACACAAACTAATAATGACAGACCAGACTGCTAAGGAACTTCAGGAGGAGGTTGACAGTCTCCGAGTGGACCTCCAGGGAAAGGAGGATGAGCTCCAGCGTTCAATGGAGGAGAGTTCACGCCAGGAGGCTACAATAGAGAAACTATTGAGTAGGATATCTCGACTAGAGGATGCTTGGAAGAGCACAAGTCAGGGGACTTCGCTGGATTCAGGTGTACACACTGGACTTGCCTCCATTTCCCAGGTGCAGAAAATACGGCAGGAAGCTACTGGAGGTAACTGGACGCCTCCGAGGAGTATCATGAAGAAGAATAAGTCTTGGATGCCACAGGCACAATCTACTGACATTAGAGGAGACACAACGCCACCTGTGGAGGCAATCGTGGAGTTACCGAAGCCAGTGGAGGTCATAAGTGAACTAGAGAAAAGTGAGGAGCCAGCTCGTGAAATAGGAGGCGCAGGAGCCTCTAATAAGGAGACACCATGGCCTCTCAAACGAGATCAAAAAATAATCGGTGAGAAGCAGTTACAAGAGAGGCTGACTAAGAGCTCGGGTCGCCCAAGGATAGTCCCAGACCGCTTCGGAGATAAACAACCGTGGATAGAATACAAGGAACACTTTGAGTCATGTAAAATAGCCAATAGATGGGATGACGAGGAGGCGGCGGTGTTTCTGTCGGCGAGCCTCCAGGGTCCGGCACTAAAGATACTTCTTCACCATGGGGACGGAGAGAAGAAGAGGCATTCATACAGCGAACTTCTCAAGCTTTTTGGATGGGCGTTTTGGACCTGGAGAGCGCGCAGACAATTTCCTCCTGGAGTTAAGGAATAGGAGGCAGAAGCCGAAGGACACCATACGGGAGCTCGGCCAGGCGGTACGTGAATTGGCGTCATTTTCGTACCCGGAGTTTACGGAAACCGCAAGGGACCGCCTTGCAAGAGGACACTTCTCTGATGCGATAGCTAGTCAGTCTATTCAAGGGGGGTATTCCGGGCCAACCCTTCCACACTTGATGAGGCGATACGGGCAGCCTTAGCAACTGAAAACTTCGAGAAGATTGAGGCTCAAAGGAATGGGTCCAAGTTCAGCACTGGAAAATATAGGGCGCTGGAGGACGCCGCGGAGGATGTCGTTCAGCATGCCATATAACAACAGATAGACCAAACAATGGAAGAGGCGGGTTAAACAAAGTAAGGAAGACGTAATGACCGAGAGAGCGGGAACAGAGGCGACGTGAGGATGGGGAAAACAAGTCAAGGGAGATCAGACGGTACGGTGTTAAAGAGACCGGATGGACGGAAGGTGAAGGATCTTGGAGATGCTGGGACATGGGCAAAGGCGCTACGTATACCCAATCAGAAAGACGACATTGACGAACAACCACTGGAGAGAAGCGACCAACTCAACGCGAACTGGAGGCACAGAAGGAACCGCCAGCCAAACTACTCAGCGCCCAATAACGCAGCAGCTGCGCACATCCGAGAGGATCTGGGCCCAATCCACGTGACACCTCTGGAAGGGGTACTGAGAGGCAAGGTTGCCCGGGTGAAGGAGGTATCGACCACCGTTGAGTTCCAGGGGTGTGTGAAGTTCGTGAGCCGCGGTTGGAGAGGGTATACGATGTCCAGTTCGACCAAGATTTCCTCAAGAAGTAACAGCGCATCCGAAGAGTACAGAGGCAACATGTTCGTACGGTTTCCTATGAGTTAGGCTCGTTTATCAAAGCAACCATTTCTTTAAGTTTTAAAAAGAGTTTTCTATAAAGTTTATATAAAGTTTTCTTTAACGTTTGCCAAAAAGGTTTCATAAAGTTTCCTATACAGTTTTATTAAAGTTTATAGACTAATAAGTATAGCTTACTTATTAGTCTATAAACTTTAATAAAACTGTATAGGAAACTATTTTATACGGCGCATGTATAAAGAGGCGCCGACCTTTTGAAGTTATGGACCTGGTCGTCGTTTTGATTAAAAGTTATATAAGGACTTTTATAGTAATTTGCTTTGAATCTCAGGTCTTTAGCTGTTATGAACGAGGACGTTCATGCTAAGAAGGAGGCTTTGTGGCGAAAATTACTATAGCGGCAGAGTCTAAAGAGGGCGCGCTAGCGGCTGCAGGCCCCTATATAAGAGGCCGCGGGGCAGTTGCTAGAGGGACGTACATGTAGACGCAGACGGAGACACAGCCCTCATAAGAGCTCACGCTATTACGCGCGCTGACGGCGTGCTGGGTGGTGCGGTGGAGTAAGGCTGGCATAAGGAGGCACGGAGTCCGCGGAGGCTACTGGAGGCGGAGCGACATACAGCGATCTGCCGATTGTAACGTGACGGAGCCGGAAGGGCGCGCTCATCTACCCGCCGCCTCGAGGAAGGCTCGCGACTGGAAACGGTGGAGGGCGGGAGAGTGGAGGCGCACAGGAACGCTAGAGGCGTACGGTTCTTACCCAGGATTCAGAGGCTATCCCCAGCCAGGCATCGCCGTGCTGCCCAGCACTGCCTTAATACCGTAGCGGCTAATGCGAGGCTACCCCTACAGAGATAATTGAGAGGCTCGGAGACCAATTACTTATTAGAGGCTAACATTATAATTTACGAGAGGTCCATCCTATGACATTGATTCTGTGTAAATAAATCAAGCAGTAATTGAGGTCATTGACTGTTGTGTACTTAATTGTCTGTCCTTGTCCATCTTTGAGGTTGAGGGGCGTGGGTGAGTGCTGCTACGCGTATAGGGCGGTATATTTCCATCCAAACGGGCCTGCATTCCCGGCTGCTGGGGTACTGATCCTAAGCTAGGTTGTCTGGGTAAAGGGACTACGGATCGGGTCACAGATATTCCCGCCACAATAATATAATGTATCAGAGGATAGAGGTTGAATGACGAAAGTCCGCACATTCAAAATACGACAACGGAGGGACTGGAAACGAGTCTCTGGTCATAGACACATGTCTAACGCATCACTGTACATGATATACGTTGGCTTTCCCAATCGAGCTTTCTTTTAAGGTCAGGGGTCAGGGCCATCTTACTTCCTGCCTGGAATTGTGCTCAGAGCATTAGTTTCGATTGTGTTTATTTCGATATCTGTTTATCAATCTACAGTTTTCACGTACACTTATCTTCATGTTCAAAATAAGGAGGTCGCAAACTAACGTGGATAGGGCAAGGGCCGACACCTATAGTACTCCAACGACCAAGTAGTGTCGGAGCATTCCTCCATGCATGGTCGGAGTTTCTTTCGATTCTGTCGAACTACTTCTACGGAAACGGATGTTGGAAAAGTGGATGTTATTACACAGAAGCACATATTAAACAACAATGCTGACGTGTTATTAGGCTCTGTCTGTTGGATAGTGGATAACGTCAAGTTCGCGCCGATAAATGCAGGCCCAATACCAGAACGTTCCAGTGTAATTTTACAAGTAGCTGGAAGCATGGCAGAGTTTCTGTCAGTTGTCATCCACCTGTGCGTCCTTCTAATTGGTTGTACGGGGACAATCATGCCTTCCGATTTCAAGGGGGCGAGTGGGGCGACTCATCCCACCGTAAGGAGGATCAACGATAAGCCTTTCGTTGCCGTCTGGAACGATCCTTTATACGACAGGTGCCGGGAACAGTTCGGGATTAATCTCAATTTGACGGCGTATGGCATCGCAAACGGACCTGACAATTCCGTGATCTTCTACAATGAAACGATGGGTCTGTATCCGTTCGTTAAAAATGGCGTCGTCTTCAATGGTGGCTTGCCGCAGGTGAGTCGGTTATTCAGACCGCTCATGTGAATTAAAGAATAGTTGATTTCAATGTTGAGATTAAAATCCAAATTTAGTTGATCAGGATTCTCTCTGATTTTTAAAGTGTGAAGATTCATTGTACTTGAGTGAAAACGCGCTTGTAACTTCCACAAGACTTGTGAAACTTATTCAAAATTCAAAATATAGAACAAAAAAAAGATGAATTTCAAATAATACCGGAGTCTTATATAGCGCACGTATCTACCAACAATTAGGTACTCGAGGCACTGGAGATTTTGTCTATTATTAAAGAAGGTAAATAAAGTTGATGAGAAATATGAGACCCATATATAGCACCAAATATAATGGTTTACAAAGTGCTGCGGCGCATATTGCAGCCATTGCCAGAAACACCGGGGCAAACCCCTTTGTCTTAGCGATGAGTGTTACTGGGTTCTTTAACGTGCATTACACAACACACGGAACCTACGGCTTCACATCCCATCCGAAGGACGAAGCAATAATTGTAAAGTGCAAGACCATGTTCCCGTGGTCAGGATTCGAACCCATGTACCACAGCACACGAATCGAACACCGTCACCATTGGACCACAGCACCCCACAAGTTTAAAGGGACTTAGGGATCATGTACTTAAAATTTGAAACTGACTTTCAATCAATCAACTACCATGCAGGTGCTTCTTATTAGAAAAATGATCTGGTGTGCTTATCCAACTGAAATTGCTAAAATGTCTGCATCTAATCACTATCAGACGCAAGGTTGCTACACCGAGGGAATGCCAAAACTGTTGCTGTGTCTAATACTATAACCGATTTTTTTATTATAATAACGACTCCTCATATTTTTTTCAGTTGATGAACTTGACGTCACACTTGGAGAAATCCGTCACTGACATCATCACAAAGATCCCGTATGTACATTACAGTGGGCTTGCTGTGATTGACTGGGAGTACTGGCAACCAGTGTGGGACGCTAACCGCAACGGAACTCTACGGGAAATGTACAGGAACATGTCCATTAGTCTGGTGCGAAGCCGCCACCCTGACTGGGAAAACACGCTCGTGGAGCAGGTCGCCAGACTGGAATTTGAGCAAGCCGCCAAATCTCTGTTTGAATCCACCATTTTGTTGGCAAGGCAACTGCGGCCAAACGCCCTCTGGGGTTTTTACCATTTCCCCTACTGCTTTTACGAGAATACCACTGAAACTTGTGCCCAAGTTGGAATACAAGCCAGCAACCAAATGCGCTGGTTGTACGACCGAGTGGCAGCTCTGTATCCCTAAATTTACCTGAAAAGTTCCGAACCCTATGTGATAAATGACCCTGTCCCGTATGTTCAGGCTGTTCTTAGTGAAGCTTTCCTAGTTCGGAACAACTCCAAGAATCAACTGACTCCGGTGTTCAGCTATTGTCGATACCAGTATACAGAAACAGATCTGTTTCTAACCACGGTATTATGTACTTTGTTTATTATTATTATTATTATTATTTATTCGGCCAACAAATGAACAAAAGTACAATGACAAAGCAAATATAAATCAGAAAGTAAACAAAAAATAGAAATTGAAAAGTATGACCAGACAAGACTAATTAAAGACTGATACGAGTAGGAATGGGTTGGAAGGGGGGGGGGAGGGAAGGGAGGGTGGACAGTTTGACAGGGGAGAGGAGATAGAGGGACGGAAACAAGAACAAAATAACATTTCAAACCGGCCAGGGTAAACAAAAGTGTACTTAAACAATGTATCCCTAAGGCCTGCCTACCCAAGCTTGAAATGTCTACACAGAAAATAAATAGAATACAATGCAAATAAAAATATATAAATGAAAAGAAAATGAACGAAGAAAACCAAAAACAAAAAACAAACAAACAAACACCCCCAACACCCCAACAAATACAAAACAAAACAAAACAAAACAAACAAACAAAAACAAACAAACAAACACCCCAACAAACCAACAAACCCCCCAAATAACAAACCAAAACATGTATGCACTCCGTGTATAGGTACATTAGCCTAACTACAGCAGAAGCAGCATCATTTGTAATACATGTGCATGTGTACATAGCGCCAACAGAAACATGTTTGTAATTTCTTCCCTTTTTATGGTAATGCAGGAGCATCTGCGAGACACCATCTTGTTGAGCGCGGAGATGGGCGTGTCTGGAGTAGTGATATGGGTATCCGCTGATGACACCAAGACCAAGGAGAATTGTCTTGAGCTCCAGCAATACATCGCCACCGCCCTGGGTCCACTGGTCAAGACTACGACCGATGCTGCCTCACATTGCGGCCAGTCACTGTGCAGCGGACACGGCAGGTGCGTAGGGGAAATCTTGACCTGTACCAAAACGGCGCCCTCTTTTGACATGGAGGGTAACGGGAAAGAGAGGGCGCCCTTGGAGACTAGACGTCAAAGAAGAATGAAGGCGGAGATCTCCGAGTTGGCTCGCAATTCAAGTGTCACAGAGAAGTGCTCTTGCCGTTGTTATGACGGATGGAAAGGGGAGAATTGTAATATGAAAAAGTCGAATGTAACCGAAATGAGACCAAAAGTCGGGAATTACGTCTCCGCGTTTCTCGCCCCAGATTTGTGAGCTCGCAATCTAGACGAGTGTTCTGGTCGATGGTGCATGGGAAGGGAAGACATGTGAAGTGAAAAGTGAAATGTAACCAGGATGTCATCTAGTATATAATGCCAGTATATTGTGCCAGTCATTACACAGATTTTTTTGTCCACATTAACCTAGAAAATACAATGTTTAGACAATGCAAAAAGACAAGTAACAAAATAACTTCTGCATGTGGAACAAAACTAACTTAAGTAATTCTTCATTGTTGCCACGCATGCGTGTCAATACAACGTGTCAAATTGTTTCAAAGTATGTTTGGGTTCCAAGACCCTTTTGATGCCAATTTTGTGGTTGTGGTGGTCACGGTTGTTACGTTGACATTGAATTAGCGGAGAGAGGGCGTTTTTGATCTTTTTATTGTAACTTTTTTAAGAACAACTATAGACCATAGAGTAGAAGCTCTTCTTTCCTCTGATACCTACATCTTGCATATTTTATGCATCTTCAAGTTTCAAATTGTCAAATGAAAAAGGACCAACTTTAAACGCGATTATCTCGACTGTTTGTTCAGACAGTGAAATACTAAATTCGCCTCTTCGTGAAAACGGTGACGATATGCATGTGCATGTAAAACTTTACCGTGTGGTGCAGAATGTGCGGCCGCGCGCGCCTCTACGTTATAGCTAAGATCATAACGGTGACGGAGTGGATGTACGCGGGTCCGTTGATTAATATTCATTGGTATCAAATGACTTGTACATGGGCGCTGCTTTACAGACCTTCATTCAATAAATCTCAGCGATATAAAATCACACTTTGTCACGCCTGCCGATTCCATTAGTCGACTCTGACAATTATTACCCGACACTGCAAGGATAATAGTCACCGTGTATCCAGCTCGTTCGATTCGCTCCGAGTCACACACCAATGAAAGGATACAAAGTAGGGAATGAATCCGGCGATATTCATATAGCTTTCTCCCTCTCCCGTTGACAGACGTCATGGGTATGATTGTCTCCAGCAGCGGGCGAAAAGGAATCTCGCCGCCCGTGGCGTGCCCCGTCTTCAAGACGCTGTGCCCGCTCAAGCGTCTCGGAGAGAAATCCCTCCGACCACTTTTCTCGCCGTGGCCAAGACACACAAAGCGGCTGTCTTGCAAAGACACGCGTGAGTGTTGATATATACGGACGCATTAAATGTTTGCTGGAAATATGTTGGAGATTTGTTTTTTGAAATAAAGAAATAATGAAATTAAATTCTCCTTTAAATAAAAAAGCCACTTACTTCCGATTGTCAACTCCAGAATGTGACCAATTTGCATATGTGTAATGTGGGGAATTAATGTAATAAACAAATGAATTAAGTCTTTCTATACTTGTTCTTAACGTTTCAAGTGTTTTCCAAGTGTTATGATTGCCGAGTTCCCCCAAAATACCATTTTTTTTTAAATAATAAGGTTCTATAATGGTTTTTAATAGGAAGCAAGCATATAATTCTCAATGGGTCAAATACTATACTAAGTTGGATTATGAGTACTAAAACATAGGTCTACTGCAGCAGCCTGACGGTGTGCAAGAAATGTACAAACATTCGCAAATGGATTTAGCGTTTAGTTTGCACACATGTTGGACATTTTCATCACAGGCCTACTCCCCCCCCCAAAAAAAAATATAAAAAAATAAAAGATAATATATTTGTATTCCATGGATGCACGTCATCCACCCATTGCCTGATTTCAGGCCATATTCATAATGTAAATAACATGTTGCACCATACATGTTTCCATACTTTTCCTCAGACCACAAATTTCAGGCAAAAAAATATATCAGTCATAAATATTATTACATCCCTATACATGTATAATCAAAATCCCAGAACTCAATCAAACCCACTGTGTAATCTTCGGGGTAAATTCCTACAGTACACCCAAAGAGGTATTTTAGTATACTGCTTCAATCATGCTAAATCACTGTTACGAATCTGTTCAAAGATGATCCCCCTCCATTTTTTCCCTTAAAATTCCACTTATTAGATATTTTTCTTGTTCCTCATTTATATACCTCGGCATATTTGACCCAATTTCCACCAACCTCGCGTGCACCAGGCCTACATCCCAGCGGTTCCATTTTATCCCCCCCCTCCCCCAATTCCAGTCAAACGATACCGAGAGCCGTATTTCAAACCTTGATTTGTTTTAGGGAGAAGGATAAATATACATCTTAGCTCAGAGACGCGGGACTTGAAGGGATTTTTTGTCCTCTCTTATTTTCTTAAGGAAGTCCAGGGTTGTACGCCGTATAAATTAGGTGGCGGTATTTACATAGAGATTTGTATAAGATGGCATACCTGGTTCTGTGATTTAGGGAAGCAGTGCGCCGGCGGCAACACGCAAGCGGGAGACAAGTGCAGACAAACCTCGGCAGTTAGGAATATCGCGATGAACAGTGCGTGTACTTCACTGAAAACTTCGAAGTGTGGGGTACCAGTTACACAAATCTTTGTACAATTATTTGCTGGGACTCAATGTATACATTATCATTGTTTTGTTCCTAGTAAAACTGATCAAATGGTGTTCGAAGTAATATTCAAACGATGAGTGAATATACACTGTATTTCTTGGTTGACAAAATTGTTCTTAGGTAGGCGTAATGCTTGAATGCTTGAATGCTTGAGTTCGTATGCTTGAATTGTCCAACATGGAGCTCACTTTGTATTTACGGGAGCGCCCTCTCGTGTTTGGATCTGTTCGTTTAAATTGAAGTAGCCATGCAAAAAGCACACAGTGACAAAAAAGTCAAGGACACGAAATTGTGAAGTACTGTCTGTAGGGTTAAGCTATAAGCAGGTTGTCTGTAGAATATAAAATTGAATGAAAAATGTTTTCAATTCTTGAAACGAATAAGCTTGCTTGTCACTGTTTAAATGCACTACGTATGAGCTACCATATTGGTGTGGTCCCAAGAGTTCGCTTCATTGTCTAATCATAAGTGCTTGTTTCTACTTATCGGCACCGGTCTTAGGTCTACTTATGCTTGTATAATGCTATAGAAAAAAATAATGGAGAGAGAAATGAATTTACATCGCATCCAGTTACCACAATCATTATTTCATTTTATTTTGATTTCTACATAGCTGGAGAGTCAACCCGTTTTGTCGTATGTCACGTATTGCGCCAGTCAATTTCAGTCCGCGATTGTCGAGTATTATGATATCACATTACATTGCCACCCTATCGCGTTTTCTTTAAATAGACAAGTTTACAAATGTTCCATCATCTGATGGCGTAAACCCGGTCACACAATCTCGTAATTCTCTCGGCAAATCAGCTTCGGGGGCCGCGCTATGGTCGTTACCAAAATCTCGAAATTCATGGTGTTACTGTTATATTTAAAACGAAAGCATGGAGAGATCCAAACAATGTGGAGCCGCGGAGACTGGGGATTAGCTCTCCCGTACGAACGGCCCCGACGCGCGGCGGGCAAACCTCGTATATCACTCGTTACAATGTGAGCAACATGCCCTGTGAATTACCAGTTTGATTGAACTTGTGGATGACATTGACCATCGCCAATTGCAAGACGGTTATGTAGGTTCTTTTGTGGCATTTCTTCAGTCTGCGAAACTTTTTCTCAGACTCGTCTAAATATTGGGTTCAGTGGGTTCAAAGGATGTAGCGCTCGTGTAAGGTTAGCCATCGCGATGTGGGGGATTTGTGGAGTAACATCCCAGCATACGTTTGACCGAATTTCACTATGTCATGAGTGGAATGTGGTGTTCTAACCAGAATTTTAGTGCCCGCAAATCTTCACAGTCAATCACTACTCTCTCCGTCTCAAGTCACACGTTATTCAAGACTTTCAAGTTATTCTGTGACGAAGACATCCTCAAGCATTGTCCCCCAGTTGCTTGTGTCCGTTCTATCTTGTGATTATGTTAAGGAGAATACACAAGAAAGTGTGGATTCGTAATTTAAGAATTCACGAGGCGCGAAGCGCCGAGTGAATTCGTAAATTAAGAATCCACACTTGCGAGTGTATTCTTCGACTTAAACCATTGCGTCAACAGAAGTATTGGAAAGAATGCTGCAACCTGACGCCACTTTTTGCTTCATATATCATCTCAATGAAGGTCATTCGTTGCAAAAATGATGATAATACATGAATCTGGGACTGAGAAATGTTTCAAATTTTGTTAGGAAATACTTGAAATGACTCTCCATAGACTTCGTACACAAGTGCGGAAGTGGCGTCAGGTTGCAACATTTGTCCCTGGCATGTTTAGCATGTGTATCGCCACACCCGTACAACCAAGCCATTTTGTGTGTATATGCTCCTTACGACAAAATGGATAGTTCAGACCGACGATTTCTTTCTGATTTAAAGTAGTTTTTGCAGTGACGGCGGCGAATATGACAGTGAAGATGCATTGGTAATTTTCGGAAAACAAATTTTCACGCAGACGGTCCTATTCAGGCTCATTATGGGGAACAATTGTCCGACATGTTCAAAGTGTGGATTCGTAATTCCGAATCCACACTTTACGAAAGATTCTTCGTTCCGAATCCACACTTTGTGACCAGTGTAAGAGATTCGTAGATCCGAATCCACAGTTTTAACAATAGTGTGACGTCATAGCAATGGTTTAAGGCCACATAACTCTGTTTTTACACGTATGGAATTCCCAAACGGATTCTCTTATACCAAAGAAATGTTGCCAGATGCCAGTGAAAACTAAAGAAACATTAACTTTGGGAAAACAAATTACATGCAACTAGAAATTGATACATGAGGAAACGTAACTCTTGTGGGGTTCTTTAATTTTTTTTCTTCATTTTTTTTTTAATGTTGCCTCACTTAAACATTGCTTGAGATCCTTGGCAGCTCATTCGAAAGTCATTTGAGGTGCCAAAGATCCAAAAAAAGAGGGCTGCCGTTTCCGCTCTCGTAAGAAAAAAAATCAGTTGGATACATTAGGGGTCCGTTGGGTAAAACGAGCAAGGGCGCGCTCTTAACCAGCGCCGTGCCGGCCTCAGTCGCGCGACGGGGCCGGCGGCCGAGCAGACGGTATAGGTCAGGCGGGGTGAACCACCCATCTGCCGGCTAACCGTGGCTTGACCAGCTGGGTTCGATGACAGCCCAACGAAGGGCAAGGAAAGAAGGGTGGGTGGGGGGGGGGGGGGTAAGTCGGGTTGCTTAAGGCACCAAGCCAGGGGTAAACATTTTCGCAACGCCGCGCACGGGAAGATACTTGTGTGAGTAAACAATAAACAGACGCCGATGACCGACTCGCAAGGGGCGAGTGGTAGGATGGGGGTGGGGTAATGACTTTTATGGGTTATGTATGAAGAGGTTGGGATTAATGGAGTTGCTGGGGAAAAAATTAAAGACAATGAGAGTTTTTTTTGTTCGTGTTCAATTTTTTAATGAAGGAAAAAGTCTTCCTTCTGCAGCCATATAATCTGAAATGATGCTACATCCCAGTCACTTTTGCAGATTGTTTTTGGAGATTGCTCTCATATTCATACGACATTCCCAACCCCAGGCCAACCCCTCAAAACTCTCCATTTGATTAACAATCGTTCACCAACCAAAAAGTCATAAAATTCATTGGCGCAGTTCGTCGATCCCTTGATTTTGAGAGCGGGCACTGCTGACTAGGTGTTGGGATGTTAAGAATTTTAGTTAGAAACCGCAATAGCTCAATCCACCTGATCTCCTCCAACGAACCTCGCACGGGCGTGATAATGTTCCGGACTTAAATGTCTGGTCTTTTTGGAAAAAGAAAAAAGTACAACCTGTGAACTGCCCTTTGGGGCACATGAAAACTTTGCTTCCCTAAAGAGAGCTGCCTGAAGCTCCCAAGTCACTCATCTGAGTATAACAGAGATCCGAGGGAGAGGTGGAGAAAAGAAGCTGACAAGCTGTTGAGGAGTTTCTGCCTTCAGAACCTGAGCCAAGAGGCGCAGTCATTACTCGCCGATCCATCTTGATACGCAATTACTTTTGATCTTAATTTGTTCGGGAGAAGCGACACTCGGGGCCTCGCCTCTTTATATCTTGCCACGGGTGTCGGCGGAGGACGCTGGGGAATCGACGGCCAAGTGTTAGCCCGACAGTTAGGACCCTCTCGCCCCGTCAAGTTCGCGAGGCGATCGCGTTGCAGATGATATATGATGGTTATTATCACTCCTGACAAGTATTGCTCCGAGATGTTAAAAAAAAGGAGCAAGTGAAAACCAAAATTGGCCCAGCCCTCTTCGCATATGGTCCTTTTACAGCATGCACTTCGGGCCATTTTCTTTTGTTCCGCAAGGGGGGGACCCCCGAGCAGCATTAACAGGCCTTCTGGCCCGCCGAGTGAGGCAAGTTTTCTTCGGGGGCCCCTGGCCAACTCGGCTCGGCCGTCTCTAATTCCTTATGCCTCCGAGATCCAAATTACCATCGAATTACCCACACTTAACGGTGCGGTTGCTTGGTGTCTACCCAAGCGGGCCGCACACGCGACGGCTTAAATAGCAATCATAATGACCGCCGCGTATGGGTGCGCTTTTGGTAAACCGATTTCTTTTATTTTTTAATAAACAGTCGTCAAAATCAGATAATTGGAAATGAATTTAATAGGGGAAGGGGGGTTCAGAGAGGAGCTCGTCGAGCTTGATACAAAGTGACAACTGTCTTTTGCAAAGCAGATGGTTGCTGTGTAAATTGACCGGATGAACCAATCTGTTTTGGGAATGTTTGGGCATATCGATAAAAAAAAAACAGTCTGTAGTTGACCACACAGCCCCCGCCTACTTATGAAGAGTTGTAGCTGTTGGTTCGCACTCTGACGAGTTCCTTCAAGATCAATCTGGGCGCAATCTCCGACTGAGATTTGTCACTGAAATGGAACTGACGAGAAGATGCAGGCACCTGTCAATTCCATTTGGGGATTTGGGGTTTGTAAAAAACAAAACAAAAACCTAGAAGTGTTTCTGAGAAGAACCAGTTGGTGACCGAGTCGACGTTTCGATCAGTTTGTTGTGATCGTCTTCATGATAACACACCTTACTTGTTGTATTAGTTACAATCTGCCAGAGACAATAACTGTTGTAAGGCGCTGGGATATTTTTTTGGGGATGCCTTTTTGGTTGGGGCACAACACAAATCAACCTCAAATTTCTAAAGTTAAGTCCATCCTGGTGTAATGCTTTGTAAAGAACTTTCTTTTCTCTTATCGTGTTCACATTATATCAGTACTTATTTTTATTGTGGCCACTTCTATCATCTTTTCAGACCTTAAATACAATAATTTAAATACAATTAGATGTTTATTTACAGACTTTCTTAAAGCAGTGCAACGCCTCAGCATCAGAATTTTACGCTAGTATGTACAAGAAAACCCCTTTGTTTAAACCTCCGTATAAAACTAGGTCTTCTTTCATTTTTGTTTTTTTTCCAAATGTAAGTGCTTTTCGGTAATTATTAAGACAAGTGTGCAGTGTTGTAATGGGATAAGTCCACGTTTTGTTAAGTCATTAGGCTAGACCGACACATTATTTCAAATGTTGAATATTATCAGTCTGTATACATACAATTAAGGCTAATTTCAATCAGTTGGTTCTTACAATTTTTTTTTTATACCAAACGCCTAATGTTTATTTCTGACCAAGATTCTGTGGCACAATGGCTAAAAAGGCGCACATTTGGTGTTCGTCTGTTAATTCCTTTAGCGAATTATGAAAATGAAGATGATACTTAGCGCGCATGGATGGGGAGGTGTCACATTTTGGAACAGGATCGTTCGAGAAATAATGAGACAGTAAGAACTGTCTACTACATCTGGGCGTGAATTCGCTTTTCATTCTGTCAAAGGTGCTGATAGGCAGTAATTAATTGCCAGGTCCATTTTCAAGAAGGGATTTGTTTTCGCTCGATATCTAATTAAGAATGTCACAGCTTTGGCTGTCTTGTGATAAGAAGGCGATCGGGACCTTCAATCAGCTGTGCAGATTGGCTAAAACTAGGACAGTGCATCTTTTAATTAACATAACACTTGGATACATTAGTGGAATGAGCAAAATTGTAGTTTTATAGACGGACATGATTATACCAATGTGAAAGTGGCGGCTGCATTTTTACGCCACGACTGATTACGCTTTACTGTTTCCAATGCTGCAATGTAGTTTTTTTTTAATGCTGTAGGTGTAGGCTTAACAAGCTTTTCAGTTAGTTTTGCAAAAGCCGATAGTCAGTCATATTGGGTGGGTTTGATCCGATTTTGTTTCTGTTGTGCTGTCGTTGAAGTTGCTGCTGCTCTTTGAGCAGTGATGATGCGCAGCATGATTTTGCTGACGATTACTGTCATTGTAACTGCAGCAAGTGAATTTGCCCTTGACTGTTAGCACTCTAGATGGGCTGTCTGAATCGCGATTTTTTTTTCTCGCTGCTGTGTTGATGGTGCTTTTGCTACTGCAAGTTGCAAGCGTATTAGCCTACATGACTTGTGGACCGTTGCCAGGGCTGGTGCTGAAGCAGCCCATGCTAATGATGGTGTTGCCGTGTCATGTTTATCACATGTGTCTATACGATTGCTACTCTAGCATGCAGCTTGTCCTGTTGCTGCTCTACCGATGGTGCTCTGTGTGCTGCAGGTGGCAAATACACTGACTTCGTATATCTGACTTGTCTGCTGCTGTTGCAAGTTGTTGCTGCTGCAGCAGATGCTGTTCACAGCGGTGCCAAATGTATAGTGTGGCTACGATCGTTCTTTTGCTGTTGCTGGTGCTACTGGGGCTAAATGTATATTGTAGATGCTGCATGGTGTTGGTGTTGAAGGTGGCAGATGATCATGACCCCGTATATCATCTGACTTGTCTGTGGTTGCTGCATGTGGTGTTGTCTGGAGTTGCTGGTACAGCAGTTGCCGCTGATAGTGTTGATCGAAGGTGAAGACTGTTGACTGTTCAACATTTCGGCGAATTGACTTGCCTGTCGCTCGTTAACTCCCCGTCTTTCTGCTGTTTGGTCTGTGATGGTTGTTGTTGCTGCTGCTGCTGCTGGTGTTGCTGCTGCTGCTGTTCGTTAGCGCCCCACGGTGCCAGGTTCTGTAGGGCGTTTAGCGAGGCGTTGTGGACGCATAGAGGGTCCGGTGGCATGGGTTCTTGGAGGGTCTTGAGCATGACCTCATGCTGGAGGGTAAACATGAAGCGAGCTGCTGCTTGTCTCTCAGCCTCTCGCTCCTCAGCCGTTTGTCGTCTGATGAGAAGAAAGAAAGGAAAGAGGTAAACAAATCAATGTACACTGAAGAAAAGTATTCCTTCTTACACTTCGAAAAAAAATATGTGTGTGTGCTCAGTAGCGTAGTGGGGACCATTTTGCAGGGGGGGGGGGGCACTAAAATAAAGGGACCTCATTTCCTGGAGGAGGGAAGTCAGTGCGTTTTTTACAATAAAAAGCTTGTTTTTGCCTTCCCCAAAGTCTGAGCCAGAGAAGGGGGAGTGGGGGAGGCTGGGGCACAGGTCTCGGGCGAGGGGGCGTGTGCCCCTCCCTCTTTGTTCTACCATCGATGGCATCTATACGATGGCATCTGTGCTTCAATACAGTTTCGGAGTTGTGCGATTGGATTCGCGTCGATTGTTTTTGGCACTAACTGTTTAGGGGGAGTTCTAGGTATTTTTGAATTTCCCTTTTCCCCTGGAGTATTAGCGCAAAACACGAACCAAGTTGTGGATGCCATGAGGGGTAATAATGGTGTACTTGTGAACAATCTGTTATTGCGAATGGTGCCTTTGGGATCAGTGTTGCGGTTTGGTTGACACCTTTTAGAAGTAACAACCACGTTTTCGAGTAACAAATTGGTCGTGTCAGGGGCACGATGAGAATTAGGCAAGGCTAGGGGGTTACAACCCCGGGTTATCCACGGGTTGGCTCGGGGGGTTAATCACACTGAGTGCCCGGCCCACGCAGGTGTTCTCGGAGAAAGGGAGAATCAATCAAAATCGTGTAAATGATGGAAGGTGCGAGTCAACCTTTTTTTTGCGGTGGCGCAATCGGAATCTAAAAACAGTCCAAGAAACATTTCGCGCGTGCAGGATTTTTTTTTCAACAATACAGAAATGATGGACAACACGTGTGGTACGGAAGGGCAACCGTCCTTCGGAAAGGTCCATTCAGCCTAAAAACGATAATTACAGTCTGGATATTTGAAGTTTTTCAGATCCGTCATTTTTATAAAATTTTCTAAGTTTCGTCGAAACACTACACAAGTTATATTAGTTCTGGTGTGATTCTGTACATCACATAAATAGACACTGTAGTGTTAACACCACAGTTATGCTGTATATAGACTACTCCCAATTATCAAGTTCCATTACCGTTACGGACTAATCGCAATGCAAGTTATCAAACCAATGCATGTGGTCGTTCGGTAAGTATTTATCTGTGCCTCTCCACAAGTCCAAGGGCGAATGACACTTAAAGGGTGGGCTATCACACACTACACACACCCCCATAAATATATCAGCCGTTTAGTTCTGCGCGTTTTTAGGCCACCAATATTTGGTTTACGCTGTTGTCCTAAATCAACTTTTCCTCCTCGAAATCTGGCCCGTGTTGCGACCTCCCTCACCCTGTTTACTCAAAGCCGGTTGGTACCCCTAAACGGCCCTTTGTTTTTAGCCTCTTGAAGGATCACAACTCAAGGTGCTTGACCGCAGTATGGACGCATAAATAACGCCGCGACGTACGGGGGAGCTGAGAATACCGGTATCGGTCAGAAGAAAGTATCTCGATGGAGGGACTTCCAATGGACAAGTTTTCTGCAGGTGTTCTAGGGGTACGTTATAATAAATAGTAAAATATTACTTTGAAACCAATTAAATACCTTAACTTTATAGCTGTTTTACTCAAAACAAGAACTGGAGACAGAATAATTTATTTTACTTCATGTTTTTTTTGTTTTGCTGAGGACCAAATTTTGAAAAGTTCTCTCTCAAAAACCCACTTCCAAAACTCCGGCATTGAGAACGTCAAAATGCCGAATTACATGTAAGCCCTATAGGACGAACGCACAGTCGCTGGCAATAACAGTGCATGCAACTGTGGCAGCCATACAAATATCTCAATTTCACAGTAAGTTTCACACTCCTTGAGAGCTATTTTGTTATAGAAAGGGTAATATAACTTTTTCAAAAACCTTGTTCATAGTCTGCATCGTACTGAATCACACGAATCGGCCAAGTAAGGTAACTCTAGGATCGGACATTAATCGTTGTACTGCAAGTTTTGTTCCAAATTCCCCAGAGTGAGACAGATTAAAGCTAATTCCTCAACATTTGGGAATTGCCTTATTGTTAACGAAGGGTGGTCTCCGACTGAAAACGCTATCCAGCCATACCTGTTCGTGCAAGCCTGGACTCAAATTCTTCAAGTTAAATTTTGTTATCGGAAAGAAAAACCTGATTCAACCTAAAATCTGCCTACGGCCACACGGACGTGCAACTTGCTCGGGCAATCTGGTATCTTTCTCCTCTCGGTTCCCGCTTCAAACCATTTGCCCTAATTGGAAGCCAACACAGAACTACACTCTGCAGAGAAATGTGGACAGACCACATAATTCTGGTCAGTTTGTTTCAGCACCTTGTGAAATGGATCCACGGTATGAATGACTTTGTTTGCTCAGACTCAGCAGGAAAAAACAACACGTCAGACCAACGTTCAGCTCAGCAAACCCGCAAACACAAAAGTCTCGAAAACAAGTGTATTTCATTCATGATAACAATTTCAGAGACATATTCATTCGAAGGGATCAAACAGTTTTACAGCGCCTCAAATAGTTCCAGGTATTGTTGTTAATAATTAATTCCAACTAGCTCTTCAGAAACGGCAGCATTTCGCTCCCCCCCCGCATGGATTTTGTGAGGTTTCGTAATGACATAAATTGCATTGATTGACGGCAACTTAATTTGTTTGGTTACGATTTGGGGTTCGAATCCCCCGTGGGACACGGACTTGCGTCCTTGGCCCGCGGGCATTTCAGATATACTTGCATCTCCCATCCGAGAGTATCTTGTGATTATTTTGAGGGTAGAGCGGAGTTTATTTTACATAAGCAATTTGTTTAGCAAAAACAGGCTTCTATGTAGCTCAAATCCATGCTATAGTATGCTTTTAATATTGCATTGCACTGGCTCTTAGCTGGCATTTGATAAGCATATTTTTGTTGAGCAGTCATATTATAGCTCAACAACTCCGTGAAATTAGGCCCTTGGCACCTTGTCAAGTTGTCTGTAGTTTGGCTGTGTTTTCTCCCGGAGTGGGGAGGTGGTGCTGGGCGTCAGGATGAATCCAGGAATGAATGACAGCCCGTGAAAAGGTGCTAGGAAATCATGTAGGACCATTTTATTTAGTCCGTCTGTAAATTCCAATTAATCGCAATTCATCAGTCAGTTAGTTAATGACCGATATGCCTCCAGGGTGATGAAAAAACATTTTGTTTTTATTGTTATACCATTGCGTCAATAGGACATTAAACTATCCTAAGTTAATACGGTAATTTCAATGAGATCATCTCCTTTCTAGCGTCTACAGATGCGTCACTTGTGCCGTAACTATCTTATCGGAAGAGCTCTCAATGTAGGGAGTGAGGAACATTTCAAAATACTAAGTTAAAGAAGAATATGTTTTCGAAAGTTACTTTTTAAATATTTATGATTTAGTACAATAGCAACCTCAAGAAACTAGACTTGGGCACTGTGGTAGATTTTCCGGATTTTGATCTTGGAAACCTTCACACAAACGTTCGTATAACTACAATGATTTAAAATATTCCACAATGAAGTCATTGTTTTGGGTAATACTAATTACTTCCATTTTCTCCATCTTTTTCTGAAAAAGTGACTCCCATTCATATTTTCCAATTAAAAAAAAGCATGATTGTATCGACGCGCTTGGAAAAGTTTATGCAAATTATGTACAGCATCTACAAAGTCCAATTTTCTAAATGTTTGGCGCTCAGACTTGCGCCGCAACTAAATTCTTTCAAAAACTCAATTCTCAACGCGAAGTTCATCTTTGCTCACTCACCTCCATTTGGTCCGTCGGTTCTGGAACCACGTCTTAACCTGAGCGTCCGTCATCTTCAGCGTCTTGGCCAGCCCGGCCCGCTCGGCCGAGGCCAGGTATTTCTGCCGGTGGAATCGCTTCTCCAACTCGCAGATCTGCAGACGGGTGAAGGAGGTACGGGGTTTCTTGCGCTTCGGCGGGGTCCGGTTCTGGTACGGGTGACCCACCCTCCTCGTAACTGCGAACCAAGAAAGCAAATTCACTCCTTGATTTGGTTCTCTCAGTGAAAAGGTTTTTTAAACAGAATTTTGCAATAAAACTTACTTAATTTCAAAAGCGGTTTGTCCAGGTATTTTTGTGTGTGTTAAAATTTGCAATCAGTTTTGATCGGAAATTAATCATATCAAGCGAGAGTACAAATTGAAAGTTTGTTTCAATCCAAACTTCAATCACAAGATGTGGTTAATTAAATCGGCAACTTACACGATCAAAATGACAGCTCATTGACAAAAACTGTCCATTCTTTGATGTATGTACATTCGACACCCAATTCTTCAGCCAGTGATTTTGTTTTGATCTCTCTTGCACAATATGTTAATATATTCCAGGTTTCTGTTAGTTGTAAAGTTGCTTGAGAATTTTATTTTTTGGGGGTGCTTTTTCTCCGCAAACGTTTAATAAACGTAAACGTACGTCTTGAAATAAAAGGGCGGATGGGAATGTACAATCGTATAACACTTACACGCAGAAGGTATCGGTAAATTTTCTTTAAAATTGCAGTAAACCGCTAGTAATTTCATTTTGATCGATAGTCACATTTTAAATATATGCCGCAGGGATCGTTCCGTGGTGTCGATGTTTTGCAATTGACTATTTTGATAAAGAAATCGCCCTAATGGTAAGCTGCAGTAATGCTTTTTCTTGTGAAGTACATGGTTGGTTGAGTTAAACAAAACACACCCTACGATTGATAAAGTAAAATGAAATATGTACATGTAGAAGGAAACGAGATACCTAAATCGGTTCTGATGAAAGTGCCATGCCTTTAATTGATCGGTACGCGTCATTGATCAATTATTAATCTTTGTGAAAGTCTCCTAATATCAAGCGTTTTATTTTTAAATAAAAAATCCGGAAAAGCTTTTAAGTTAATTTTTTTATAGTTATTTCGACTAGTCGGAATAACGTTTTGTTTTTACTGTTAACATGCGGGAGAACATTCTGTTATGTCCAATTTCGATCTGAAACCGAAGTCGGTTCAGAGATAGAAATGGAAACATTCGCGTGGCTGCTGCCATTCGTGATTTGTTAATAAACCATGTTGAAATGAATTGAATTGCTATGAATTGAGTTGAGTTGAGTAGACCTATAAAGCTGAAACATCCTGATGTGTGCTTGATATAGTCATGAAGCAATAACAACTATAAGATTAAATACTTTTAAGATAATGTTTGGATGAAAGTTTGATTGTATGTGTCAGTTTTCACTTGCAAATAACAATCAAGGTTTTATTTCACAAAACAGGTCAATTTAAGCCTCCAACCGTAATAATGAATAATGTCAACACATCCGTTTCTAAATGTCGGTCCTCATCGCCTCAAAGTTTATGAAGACAAAATATCGGCATAACAATAATGCTACTTTTTAAATGAAAGTCGAAAGTTGTTGCCGTAAAATCGATTGCATTCCATTCCGTCAAAAATGATCAATAACGACAAGTGTTGTTCTTTTTAATTGAAAATGATTTATAAATAACAACTAGGATTAAAATGCGATTTTTTTGAAAACAACGTGCGTTTGATTTTTATGGATTTTTGATGTTTATTGTTCAAAACTATTGATTTCGAATAAAGATCTGTTTTTATTCGATTATCTGGCGAATAATTATTATTCTCAATAAAAAAACTCCAGGGCTTACCTGTAAGTCTGTCCCTGGCAAGTCGTCGGCTCTCCATCCAGGGGAACATGCTGTTGAACGGCAGAACCATGGGGCGATGCGCCGGCACTCGGAGTACCTTACCCAGCTCACATTGGCCCGTCAGCGGGCTGCCGCCATGCACGCTCCGCGAAGACACCACGGAGACCGAAGATGGTGCCGAGGGTGGGGATGAAGTAGGGGTCGAGGTGGATGAGGGAGGGGAGGTGGAACACGAGTAGAGCACTGGGGAGACCTGGTGGTAAGCATGAGGCCCAGGGCAGCTGATTTGACCCAGGGAATACCGCTCCACGTCCCTGGCTATCGATGATAAAGTCTTCCCGTTCTTCGGTCCGGGGGATTTACTCAAGATCCGACTGATGCTGAACGAGAGGGTGTCGGCGCGATTGCGCGGGTCAGACACCGGGCTGCAAGCTTCGTCAGCCGCCATCATCACTCAGCCCGCGGAAATCACCCCGGGCAAAAGAAAATATAGTAGAAAAGCTCGTAGAATCAGATGAAGAAAATACAATGGGGGAAAATCAAATAAAGTAACTTGTAGAGTAGGATTTGGCAACAGCTTGCAGACGATTAGTCCAGGGTAAGATGTGCTGGTCATCTGTTCTCCGTGTTTGCTTGAACTAACTTCCCCTCTTCTTGCCCCGCCGTCCGCGGATGTTTCCTCGTTTTACCCTCCTTGCCAGTTTGAAGGTATATTTGTGTCAACACGCCATTGGCCATCAAATGTTGGATGATGGACACCACGCAACGACTTGGTGATGCCATAAAACAGCGGCGATTATGTCCGCGGCACGTTAGACACACACCATCGCCGGGGGTGGCAAATTGGATCGCTGCTTCGATTTCATTATTACCCAGGATGCACCTCGAGAAGGAGGAGGAGGAGGGCTGGTTGGAGTGGCTGGCCCAGATGAGGGAAGCAAGAGTGAGTGGTGCCGAGTGTCTCAGCAACAAAGAGGTTTGTTCAGGGCTGAGTTTGATAAAGTGTGCTGTCCAGCCGAACGGTCTTTAAGTGCGTGTCAACTTGCAACCAAATGGGTGATGTTTGTGTGTGGTGTACAAGTTAGCATACACCAGAGCATGAGGGGGCAAACTTTATTATTCCGAGCAAGGGTGCAATGGTCAGAGCGGCCACGGGTATGATACAGGTGGGTTGGACGGATGAGGGGTAACTGATGCCGGGCATGAAAAAGGGAGGAAGATAGTAATGGCGCATCAACGGGGTAGGGACAGTGATGGCGGGGATAAGAAGAAAATGAGATATTTTTAGCGAGGTGTGTATGGGGGATAAACAGCGATTGGTATTGGTTATGTAACGGGAAAGGTGTGTTTGGTAGAGGCAAAAAGATGAAATGAAGTAGAGAATTGTATAAAGATTGATTAATGGAGAAGAAAGGGGATGTTGAATGATGTGCCAATACCTCCCAAATCATGTGACAATGACGATTATGAAAGTAAAACAGATAACGACGATGTCAGTGTTGCTATGGAGGCAAAACACGAGGAGTTTCGGTGCATTACAGTGACAATTACAATGGCAGTAAATATGACCAGGACAGCGACCATGACACCAACGGGATGGCTTAAGCGACTGTCGCACAAGCTCATGCTGTCACTCAAGCCAAACTTTGCGCGATAATATTCCACTCCCAATTTTTTTCTCGCCAAATACCACGATACATCACCGTTAACCCGCAAACGATTGTTTTTCACTCGGAAAAGTTCAAAAGACACCACTTGACAGTTCGGCGGGTTGGCAGGGGAATTAATAACCCTACCACAGGTTAGAGCTCTTTGCTCGACCACTCTGCACCTCCGATTCCATTGACTCGTCAGCCTTAAAAGTCATGTAACCAAAGACTTGACTGTGAAGATATTATTTTGTGAGATGGAACTGCGAACATGACACGTGGTGCTTAGAGGGTTAAACCTAGACATTTCGGGTTTTCAGGTGAAAGACTTTCAAGACTACTTTTTTTTTTAGATACTTACGAAGTATTTTGTCTTGGTAATAAGAAAAGAAATGTTTAGTGCTCAACTCACGAAAGGTACCGTTGTGGAATCCTGCATAACTTTAATTTCTTTTACCAGAAAAAAAAACCCATTAGCAAAAGAGAAATATCAAAACAAATGACAGGAATGCAAGACAAACGGAATGGAATTCACACAATCTGTTCCTTTGTGGTTCCCTCGATTTCTTGTGTGTCACCTTTACAAGCAGCCGTTTCCATCTCGTGAACTCCCCCACCTAGAGCACCTTTGGAAAGCAAAGCGTAGTCGGCGTGGTTAACAATTGAATAAATAAACAAATATTGGTCTCGGATACTTGCTTGGATATTTCCTTCCAAAGCCTCTTCATAATTTGATTGATGTGACGGACCATGTCGACTTCTGACATGCATGACATTAAGGTCGTTATTGTTGGCAGAAAATGCTCGAGAGACATTTCTGCTTTGTGTTGTCATTACTGTTTCTTCTCATTTTATGAACATACAAGTCATCCTCATAAATATTTCATATTGATGGTAACATTACCAGACACTCCTTTGTTTGGTTTGATACTGTGATATGTTCCGTTCTATGATTTTTCGGTTAAAAAAGCAGGAACTCTCAAAAAACAAGTTTGACTGGGGGGTTCCGTGGTTAAGGTTTTGGTTGGCCATTTTTCAATTTCATTCTTGTAACTTTTCGAAGAAGCCATGTCTATGTTTTTCTGTCTTTGTTATTTTATTCAACCACATTTAAATAGTGTTCAGACAATAATTTACAACATGGGTTTTAGTTTTGGGGGATAACGACTATACAAATTGTAGTAGATCATCGTCTCACTAAAGTTTTGTTGAATGTTATCGGATTCTCAGGGATTATTATTGCCTCCTTGAAAGCAAAAGTCATCAGTACCGCAAGAACGAACATCACAAATAATGCGGACACTTGTCATTGGATCGTTTGAACTGACGTTAACTGGACGTCTCAGTACAATATATGTTTAAGAAGCGCCATAGATGTTTACGATATTTGATAGTTAAAAAAGTGAGTTGATACAACTCGTGAACAGTACACATTTTGTTCATTTTAGACTGATAATGATAACAGAACCCTTTTTCCCGAGTTAACGAATCGTAACGTTATCTTGAAAACAATATTCATCGAAGCATCTTTTCAGAAATAGATGACCATTGCTTGATTCATTCCTACAAAGTCCTTGAGTACGTTTTTGCTTTGTATTTTTCGTGGTAATTGCGGTCGTATTTTGTTACTCTCAAAAATGACTATTTTTTTCATAGTCGCAAGGTCTTGTATGTTATACGCTCCAGAATGTGATGTGTCTCAGTCTTGAGTGTGATTGGGCGCGACCTTCCCGTCTTAGCTGAAGAAAATACAACCAAAAAGACGGAAGATGCGGACGCGAGAAAGACAACGACGTGGGCTATACTTGAGATGTTTGATTCAGATAAAAGAGACGGCTATTTATTCCTCGCAGTTAATTTAACACGGTGGAAAGCAGGTGCAGCAATTTCATCGGGATAATGAAGGGAAGCGATCCCTATCTCAAATAACAACATCCATTAAAATATAGGAACCTTCTCCATCTAGCCCGCGGCTGCATGCAGTGAGCTTACATATAACCGAAAGCCCTTCATAAAAATGATAAGCTTGAAATGATGATGATGATGAGAGTAAGACGTCAGGTTGGATGCTGGGGTTTAAGATCCACCTATATCTCTCCATCATGTCTTCATCACCTCATGCTCATCCCCTCCTTCTTGAAGAGACAGACAGACAGACAGACAACAGGAGACAGACTGTGGAGTGGCGGTGCTTGGAGGAGAAAGAGAAGGAATGGGGGGGGGGGATGAAGAGGGATGAAGGCAGGATATCTCTTCGCGACTCAACGTGTTAACTCGTTAAGACGGCCTCGCTAGCTCGCCCGCTCGCGTCTGTGCTCAGCTACGACTTGTAATTACCTGTCTTAATTGGCACCCATACCCACCGCGCATACTCCCATTACGACTTCCACTCATTCACGTATCCCTGAATCTCTTCCTTCAAGTAAGAGGGGAAAAAATCTAACCGCCGTTAAAGATAAGGAGTTTTTAAAAAGAGAAATCATTCGAGTTAATCAAACCCGATTTCACTTCATTAGTTCGAATGAAATCCGCACGGCAATTGGCGGGGTTGGCGCGTGGCGAGAGGTCTTCCCGTGGGGCCCCGTGAGGTGTTAACTCAGCATCCAGTTCTTGGAGAGTTTCGCTGTCGATTAACAAAAGGTCCCTGTTTATCCAACTAATTGTCATTTTTTTCCTCTCTCGTGAAAGGAGTCCAATAGGGCAGTATAAAAATAGGCCTACGAGCCACCAGTGCAGTGGGAAGGCTTTGGCAATAGGCACCGGCATTATGACGGTTTTCCAAACATGAAAAGAGGCCGACATTAATGACTAAAGATTGTTGGAAATCTCTTCTTTCCAAAGATTAAGAGCGATAGATGGAGGACTTATGGGGAATACCATCATGCAGCCAAGTGTTTATATGAATGGATTATAAAAAGGGAAGAAAAAAAAATCTGGTCTGGTGCGTGTGGAGCCGGAGTCAAGCTTCATCAAGAATTCATGAGGCGAAGATTGCTGGCCATCCGGCGGGGTTAACGTTCCCTTCCAGCGGGGGAAGAAAGACGATACGACCCGCTAGGCAATGCAAGGCCTAGGTCCCGGAGCATCTCTCCAATCAGTGACAAAAAAAAGAGGAACCGTAGGGCGCAGGGCCGAGCGGACACCAGCGAGAGAGCCGAGCGACAGCCGCGGACAGACAACCGACTCACGCTCCGCTTTCTCCATTTTCGCTAGTGTAATCCCATCGTTCATGAGCGAGAGGACACGAAAATAGACTGGGATCACACTTAATCTGTCATCGGTTTATCAGGCCGCAAACTTCATTTTTAACGGCGGTGACGTTTATTACGGCGAGCTCTCGTGTTTTCGCCCCCTCTTCTCTCTCACTTTCTTTCAGAGCCAGCCAGCGTCTGTTAGACAAATGTTTAGGATTTTGAAACTCCGTAGGGAAATTGATACAGCTGAACAAAGCAAAGTTGGTTAAGACGACGAGTATGGAATACTTAGACGCGGTCAGCTGTATTTGTTGAGTGATGGAGGTCTTTTCGTTTTATTGGCGTGTACCTATTCCCAGACAAGACATTAATAATAAAACAAAAACTGTTACAGCTAAAAAAATATAATGAAATATAAAGTCAAAATACAATGCTGTTCGCATGACTACTTTTGAAATCGGAAATGACAGCTTTTTTTTAATTAAAAAAGCCAGCTGAAACTTGCAAATTTATAAACATAGTTAACTGTGTAGAACATTTAAATCGATACTTTCTCTTAAGGTGACAGCATTTATTTACATATTTTGCAAAAGTGTTTTGGTAATCATTACAAAAGCATGTTCAAAACACATCATGTTATTTTGTGTATTCTTTTTTCTGTAATGTTTTCAAATCATAGCAATGAATCGACTCCAGTCAGTAATCAAGCTCATCATTTTCCCACTTCAATTTCGACTTTCATGCCATGCGATCGGCGATTAAAAATTAATTACCTACTTCAAGAGCCGAACAGATTTTTTTAAACAAAGGGGGAATGGAGTGCTTGAAACCAATAAATCACTTGAATCATTTATGACCCAATTAATTCCGAAGGGAGCCTTCCGACATTCAACACTCTTTGTCATCGGAAGTGTCCCCCTATACGTCTTGTAACCAACTCGCAGACTTGCACTTGTTAAGAAATAGATCCCCATTAATCATCATAAGAACATCTTAGGCAAAAAGAAAAAAGCACAAACGAAAAAAATCTAGTTTCTGGTCATATCCCTTCCACACAATAGCAACAAGGCAGCGACTTTTTGTTTTTAATTATGGAGTATCTAAATTTTAAATCGTGTACAGAGAAAGGAGATCGAAGTTGATACTTTGTTTTTTAAGGTATACGGTGGCTTTGAATGAGCATGCGAAGTCGTGGTATGGTAGCCCTGAAGGTACATGCACTTATATAGTCTTATTTTTCACGACATCGTATTTTGTACGATATTCACGACTGTTCATGTCCCTTCTTGGCCACCATAATGTGTTTCGGGGTACTGTTCTACCTCAAATGTTATTATTTCGCCACAGGATATCTTACTTCACCTCTTAGGCTTTTCAGCCATATTTTTTAACCAAAATGACCTAAATACTAGACCATAAACTTGATTTTGTACTCATTCGTACGTTTAGCCGATCATGTTTCTCTAGTACACTTAAAGGGAAAATACAACATTTGCAAACATCAAAAAATAAAACTACCAAATCATTTTGAAATACCTTGCTGGACTGTTAGTGAATGACAGTGTAAAGCATCCTGTAAAATCATGGCACCTGGTATACTGTCATTTTCAAGAAAAGTGGTATTTTTGTATCAATTTCCAACGCTGATCGGCCGATGAGCGTTGGAAAAAAACTGGCTTTTTTCAAATACTGGCCCCAATTGACCATCACACTTGTTTGCAATCGATTACAAACCTATGAACGGGTACGAACCAGCTAGACTGGTTCCCTGACCTTACAATTCCCCAATGTATGTAAACTGCTCTGTTTCTTCTTATATGGAGTCAGGGAACCAGACTACAGGAAAATGATTGTTTTTCTTGGTTTTTATAGGATTTTCGAACCCAA